CTCTCTCTGCCCCTTCCCCACTTGTGCTCTGTCTCTCTCTGTCTCTCAAAATAAATAAACATTAAAATTTTTTTTTAATTAAAAAAAATTTAAAAATGAAGATTCAGTAGAGAGAACATTCTATCTGGTGTCCTATAATAAGAAATAGTCTCAGTGTCTATCAGAATACCAGTCTGTGTCTGCAAAGGAGCATTTTAATTTTTTTAATTTTAATTTTAATGTTTATTTGTGAGAGAGACAAGGTGCAAACGGGGTAGGGGCAGAGAGAGAGGGAGACAGATTCTGAAGCAGGCTCCAGGCTCTGAACAGTCAGCACAGAGCCTGATGTGGGGCTTGAACTCATGACCTGCAAGATCATGACCTGAGTCGAAGTCGGAGGCTTAACTGACTCAGCCACCCAGGCACACCTGCAAAGGGGCATTTTTAAAGAAAACAGGGTTATTCTGTTCATTCTACTGAGAAAGATATGCAGGCGGCAGAGTTCAGTGCAGTCATGGCCATAGTTTACTTTGTATAGCCTTGTGTTTGTAGCTTTCTGTAGGCTGCACGTTTTTCCAGCATACCTTGCAGTGGGGTTAGGTGTTGCATAACTGTGGGGCAGTCACCAGGATTAATCAGGAAATAGTGACTAGGTTGTTAATACTAAACCTCAGACATTTTTCCTACAGTTTGCCGAAGTTTGGGAGTGGGTAGATGATAGGGTGAAGGACCTGGCTGGCACTAACTGCAGTTGTCACACAGAGTAATTACCAGTCTAATGAGAATTTTGTTTTTCTCTGAACAGTGGTGGAGTGTTGACACTGGGGAATCCTCACAGACCTTCTACACAAATGGAACCAATCTTAAGAAAATACACGTGTCTCCTGACTTCAAAACATATGTGACTGTTGATAATCTTGGTATTTTATATATTTTACAGATGTTAGAGTAAAGTAGTTAAGGAATAATGTAGTTGAACTCTTTAATTTTGAATTGGAAAAAAATTCTATTGAAACTTCTGTATTTTGACTTTTTATAAAGCTGTGAATTGTTTTGCAGTACTGCATTCATTATGAAAGTGTTTGTGGTTGGGTGAATAATATTAATGAAGCCTTTTCCCAAACGAACACACCTTTAATCTTGTTTTTCATAATCATCATCATTATTGTTAACAGTTTGTCCTTAAGATGCAAATGAAAATGTAAATATGTACCTTGTTATACTGTTGGTAAAATTCTCTCTTGATGCATTCAAATTGGTTGACATAATTAATGAGAATAATTTGAAGGAAATATGTATTTTAATGCTATTATTATGCAGGCTGTGCCTCAGGGTAGCAGGCCTGCTTTCTGAACCACATTACCCCAAGGGATATAGTTCTCCCAATTACAATCTTGGAGCTTATTTGCACCCCTTAAATTTGCTTTAAAAATATTATGTTTGTGTGCATAGTTTGCAGCATTTCCTTAAATTCACTAGATAAGTGAGTGTTGGATTTCAAAAGTTCTTGTGAAGCAAAAATCATAGGACTACCTTTTTCTCACTAGCTAATGGCAGCCCTGTGCCGCCACCGGACTCTAGTTGTCAATCTTTGAGTTGGGTGCTGTCTTACTTGCTCTGGTTTTTAACCAGACTTGTTACTTGACTGAACTTGACCTTCCTTTATAAAATTTTTTTTTTATTTCAAGAGAGAGCGAGAGCGAGAGAGAGAGAGAGAGAGAGAGAGCCAGTGAGCGTACGCACATGTGTGTGTGTAGGGGAGGAGCAGAGAGACGGGGAGAGAGACAATCCCAAGCAGGCTCCACACTTAGCACAGAGCCTGATGCAGGCGCTCAGTCCCATGAATTGTGAGATCATGATCTGAGCTGAAATCAAGAGTCGTCACTTAACCAATTGAGCCACCCAGACACCCCTGAACTCAACGTTGCTTAATCCTCAACTTTCTTCTTTTCTTTTCTTACAGTTGAATTTTTGTAAATTAGAATAATTGGAGAGGACCAATTTTCATTATGTTCTAGCAGAATTTTTCTAAGAAATATAAAATAGTAAAAAATCATTTTCTTCCAAGTCTGCTTACTCAGATGAATGGCATCTGTTTACTCAGATGAATTTTGAGAGAATTCTCTATGCTTTTCTATGTAGTAACATAAGAGTCCTCGTGAATCTGGAAACTGGTCTGTCTTCCAACTGGTATTCTTCTCTCCTCCCTTCTGTTCCCTTTCTTCCTCCCTCTTTCCCTCCCTCCCTCCCTCCAAGGTTAATCAGGAACGGTAGCTCTTAACAGAGAAAAAGTATATCAGCATCAGTAACTAGCTTTTTTGACTTCCTGATTAGGAATTTTAATTGCATTAAAGCTGCATTTTTGCCTGACAATACATTATTAAGGGAAATGGCAATAAATTAATAGATGTGGTTCACATAAGAATAACCAAAATTCAAGAATTTTGCTGCTGCAGCAGAAAGTAAATCAAGTGAATATTAGTATTAACAGGTAAGCAGTGAGCCAGTTTCTGTTGTTGGTGTGTATTAGATGTGGTATTGATAGGGGGCCTAGACCATTCCGGATGTATTTTACATTAGATATTACTATTTAGCATTTGAGGCAGTCATAAGTATAACAAATACAATCTTTTACATTGTTAAGGAGGTTCGGCTGTTTGTTTTTTTATGATGGGTTGAGGTACTAATTTATTGGCTTACTGTGATTTCAGCAAATGTGATGTGAAGATCTTAATTTTATGAAAAAAATTATGTAAATGATGTACTTAGAGTAAACCATAGTTTGATTTGCATACAATGTTTAGAAACTATAGCTCAGACTATAACGTATTAACTTTTGGAATTAAAAGCCACTTGACTGTTAAAGTATAGAACAGACATTTGGCTTTTACCTTTGATTGGCCCTTGTCTTCAAATAAAAAGAAAAATGGGAAGAAAAGGTAATGACAAAAAGGCAATATCAAAAAGATGAGAAGACAAGGTAACTTGAGGGAAGAAGAGAAACCCAATATGAGGGAGCTATATGTTTCATGGCAGCTCAAGTGGTCAGTCAAGGGGAGGATTTTGTTTTGTACTTGCAGATGAGCATTTTCAAGCATTTTCCCTTGCTTTGTTTTTTTGTAATGGAAATTACATTGCATTTTGTATATATAAGGATTTTTTTTTACATTGTATGTGTCTTGTATGGTTTGAAAATTCTTAGTTTTATAAATTTATGACACAAGTCACACAATTTCTTTTGCCTTGGTATACATTTTAATACATGAATTAAAAAATTTTATAAAAAATAAAATTCCTAAAATATTTTTGAAAAACATTTTCAGATTATTTCAGGCTCCTTGTCCTTTGTTGGTTAGAAAACAGATATGAAAGATTCTTCAAACTAAAGCTACCATTCTTTCTATTGCTTTACCAACTATGTCTAATTCAATTTTATTAAAGTTTTATCTCCTCAGTTTATCTCTGATGATTGCTACCTGGTGTGGCTGTAATGGTGCATGGTGATGATCCTGTAAAGAAGAGAATTAATTAATTTTTTTTCATTCAGTAAATATTTATTGAGATCTACCATGTATCTGGCATTTTTGTAGAAATTAGGTATATAAAAGTGAGCAGAAAAAGTGAGTCTTTGCCCTACTTCAGAGCCAGGGAGAGGCAGACAAAAAGTAAAATCTATAGTGTATTATAGTATGTATATATGGTATGTATAAATGGGGGGTTGGGAGCGTTACAGTTTTAGGTGGAGTTGCTCACTGAGAAGGTGACACTTGAGTACAGACCTGAAAGATGGAGGAGTGAGTCATACAGGAATCTGGAGAGATTCCCAAGCAGAGTGCACTAGGCACAAAGACAGAATAGTGGATGGGTTGGTCTGTTACAGAGCTGGCAAGAGGCTGGTGTGGCTGGCAAAGACTATGTGAGGAGAGTGTAACAAGAGGTGCATCACCATGTAGGGCCTCCTAGGCCATTGTAAGTACTTTTACTTTGAGATAGGACCTACTGGAGGAGTTTGGGTAGTGGAGTGATCTGACTTAAGCTTTATTTTATTTTTTAGAGAGAGTGTGAGCAGGAGAGAGGGGAAGAAAGAGAAAGAGAATTTTTTTTTAAGTTTGTTTGTTTATTTAGAGAGGCAGACAGAGAGGGAGAGCAAAAATCCCAAGCAGGTCCCATGCTGTCAGTGCAGAACTCAGCATGGGGCTCAAACTCACAAACTGTGAGATCATGACCTGAGCTGAAATCAAGAGTTGGATGCTTAACCAACTGAGCCATCTAGGTGCCCTGAGAGAGGGAGAGGGGGAGAGAGACAGAGAATCTTAATTAAGCTCCATGCTCAGCATGGACCCTGATGCAAGGCTTGATCCCACGACCCTGGAATCATGACCTGAGCCAACATCAAGAGTCAGATGCTTGGGGTGCCTGGGTGGCTCAGTCGGTTAAGCGTCCCACTTCGGCTCAGGTCATGATCTCATGGTCCATGGGTTTGAGCCCCGCGTTGGGCGCTGTGCTGACAGCTCAGAGCCTGGAGCCTGTTTCAGATTCTGTGTCTCCCTCTTTCTCTGACCCTCCCCTGTTCATGCTCTCTCTCTGTCTCAAAAATAAATAAATGTTAAAAAAAAAAAATTAAAAAAGAGAGATGCTTAACTGACTAAGCCACCCCCATACCTCAAGATTTAATTGGTTCCTCTGGCAGTGGAAACCAGTTGAGAATTGGTTGTAAAGGGGCACAGACAAGGGTGAAAGCAGGGATACCAGTGAGAAGCTGGCGCAATAATTCGGGTAAAATGAAGGCAGCCAGACGAGGGTGGCAGCAGTAGGGGTTGTGACAGTTGGATTTTGGATATATTTTATTTAAAAAAATTTTTTTTCCCAACATTTTTATTTATTTTTGGGACAGAGAGAGACAGAGCATGAACGGGGGAGGGGCAGAGAGAGAGGGAGACACAGAATCAGAAACAGGCTCCAGGCTCCCAGCCATCAGCCCAGAGCCTGACGCGGGGCTCGAACTCACAGACCGTGAGATCATGACCTGGCTGAAGTCGGACGCTTAACCGACTGCGCCACCCAGGCGCCCCATATATTTTAAAGATAATAGGATTTGCCAGTGGATTGGATAAAAGTTGTGAGAAAGACAAGAATGATACCAAGGTTTTAGCCTCTTTGGCTTGAACTATGGGAAGATTAGAATTGCCTTTAATGGAGATGAAAACGATTATGAAAGGAGCAGGGTTTTGGACATAGCAAGTTTGAGATGGCCATTAGGCATCCAAGTGGGGATGTTGAGTATTGATGGTCAAATAAAAGGGTCTGGAGTTCATGGGAAAAATCTGTGATGCAGATACAAATCTGAGAGTTATCAGTGACTTTAAATACATCAAATGTATTTAAAACCACAGGATCAGATGAGATCAGCAGTGAAACAGGTGTTGATAGACAAGACTGGAGTCCTAAGCTGGAGTCCAGGACAGTGTGAGGTTGGTGAGATGAAGGACCAGCACAGGAGACTGAGAAGGACCAGAAAGACTAAGAATTGCAGCTTGATGTGGTAAGTATAGTGAATGCAGTGGGCATGGGTCTCTTAATGTGGTCTTGGGCAAAATTTCTTTAGTGGTTTGTCTGTTCAGCCACCGGCCTATCCTGAATGGCTTCGGTATCTAGTGTGTGCCAAGAACTATTTTAAGCAGCAGCCAAGGCAATAAAGAAATACATTTTAGTTGTTGGGAGAGATTGAGGACAATGGATAATATGAAAAAAAAAATCAGCAGTTGTCTTATATGTAAAATGGGTATCTGTTCTTCCTTCTCATGGTTGTCATAAAGATTTAATAAGGTAATGCTCATGAGGTACTTACCTCCATGCTTGGATGAAGAAAGTGCTCAATGAACATTTCTTGGTGTTATTCGGGTCTTGTCATCTTTGGCCTGGCAACAGTTCCCTGACTGCTGTCTCTTGTGCCACTCTGCTTTATTTTTCCAAAGTGCTCATTTTAATCTTGTCGCTTCTCTTTAAAACCCTGGACCTGCTCTGTGCTCTCTTGCTTCTTTGTATATGCTGTTCTCTCTCTTATACTGCCTTTCTCCAGCCTAATTTTTTCCCTTAATTCCTTCTTATCCTTCATATATTTTGAGATGACCCTTCTGCTGAAGGTTTGCCTTGCCCTCTCATAGTGCCTTCTTTTCCCCGCCATGACTTTTTATCACCCTGTATTGTTTATTTATTAGAGTCCCCGATTAGGTCATAAGCTCCATGAAGCCAGGTCTGTGTCTTTTACACCACATTTAACATAAGCCTGGCTCCAGTTGGAGCCTCAGTAAATAGTTGTTGAATGATTGAAATTCTTGTATGTATGGTTGCATGTCCAGAGCACATTCTCTGTCCTCCCTCTGCGCCAGGATATCAAGAGGCTAATTAAAAAGTAGCATGTCACTAGCATTTTCTTTATCTTTCTGTTTTAGTTTGGCATTTTATTGTGAAGCATCATTAGAGGAAAGTAAAACTTCACTTGAATAAAAGATTTGCTCCTAGATTATATGAAATGAATAAACATTTCCCTGAAGTGTTTAAGTTGGTAAGTATGGCAATCTATTATTCAACATTATGTTAGTATAATTTACTTACCGGCCTTTTGAGAAGGAGAAAATGATTTTCGAATAATTCTTGGTCTCTGAAGATTGTCACTTGAATAGATTTCCTTGCTCATAACCCCTGCCCTTAAGACTATGGAGATACTATACAGTTATTTAAATGCCGGAATTAGAATATCAACTGCTATGGGGCTATGAGTATAACCATAGAATTACAACCACAGAATTATGATGTAGTTGTGTATATTCATAGGGAAGAGGCAAAAAAAAAAAAAATATGCATCAAATGTGGGACTCATCAGAGACCAGGTCTTTGAAGTCATTTGGCATCAATAGTATATTACTTCTAAGCCAGATGATGTAAGAAGACCAAAACTTGGGAAGTTTTCATTTCAATTATGATTCAGGAAAATGAGCTGCTGGTGTTCACTGTAAATTCATTTATGAGGTCAGGCCTTCAGAACTGGGAATACTGCTTATCACAGAGATTAAAACAGAAATCTACCTCTGTAATTTCCCATCACCCAGGGCAAGAATAACTAGAGAATGCCAGGCCCAGGTTTGGATCTGGTGGTTCCGAGCAGCTGATCAAACTGGAGAGCACCCAGCAGCTGAATGAAGCCTCCTGCTTAGTACAGGGTGGCTGTTGTGAGTTGGAGCAAAGATTCTCACCATCCATTCAAATCTCCATTTCGTCCCCACTCAGGGGACTGCCCAGCTGTTATTTTATCTTCACAGTACTTTGAGTGGATTTGCAGACTGTAGTCCTAGCTTATACAAGAAGAACTACACCCCAGGCAGTTAATCAGCAACAAAGCCAGGGCCACAGTCCAAATCTGATTTTCTTCACTTTATGGAGAGACCCAGACCCACTGGGCTACAAGTGGAGTGGCGGTTTCAGTTGAAAGTGGAATCCTCCTGGGTTTATGGCAGATGAACACCAGTCCTAGGGGTCAAGGTTTAGGTTTCAGCAGCTGGGGAAGATTTGAGAGATCTGTGTTTCTCATCTCTGATTCATCTTCAGTGAGTAGTGATTCTAAACCTTTCACCTTGTGTTGATTTGCCCCATTCTGTCAAATGACTTTCTGAGAACTAATAAATCCTTTTTTTCAAGGAAACAAGGAGGAGCTTTTATTTATTTATTTTTTTACCAGCATTTTATTGTGTCAGGCCCTATGCCAGGCACTTTATACATATTATTTAATTGAATCCTCACAACAAGGCTGTAAGGTATTATTTCTGTTGTCTAGATGTGGAAACAGCCACAGCTAAGTGGTGGAGCTAGGGTTTTGGTCCATGTAGTTGGCCTCCTTACCAAAGCCCCTGGGTGAGAGGATCCAGGAACGTCATTTCAATTATGCACTTTAATTCATTATTCATTTCACCCATTCACGTCATGCATTGTGACTGATCCTAGGTCCTGAGCTGTCAGAGGTGGTCCCTGTACTTGAGGACCTTCTACTTTTGGTATTCTGGTTAACCCATCTCTATGTCAATAGAGATTGTTCTCTGAAAAGAATTTGACAGCCAAATGCATGGCAGAGGTTGGGGAATGCTTTGGATTTGTCGGCACTTGGCCACTACCCAACCTGGTCTCAATTTTCAGATGATTCCGACATTGAGCAGGGAAGGTGGCAGCCCTACCATGGTCTGTTCCCTGGAGATGCCTGTTTCTACATTGGAACTTTTAAGGTGTTCATTTCAAATTAGTGGCAGCCCTGGAGTTAGTGGATCCATGTGCCTGTCACCTTAATTTCATTTCCTTTTCTCCTTTTCCTTTCATCTGAAAAGGTGTAGCTTCTCAGAGTCTGTTTCCTTATTTGTAAAATAGGGACCACAACACTTAATTACAGAGTTTTTTTGTGAAGCTTGAAAAATATGTCAAGCACCTGACATAGGTCTCAATGGCATTATCATCTTCGGTCTCAGCTACAAAACTCCATTCCTTTGCTGCCCACATTTCCATGGTTTACAAGGTGGGACCCTATGACTTTTGCTTTCTCTAGGAATCCTTTTCTACCTCATGGTAGATCTGTCTTCTTGGCTATTAGCACCCAGGAGACAGACTTTGCTCAGCAGGAAAGCTGTCATCTGCTTTCTTCCGAGTTGTCTCAAACTTTCTTCTCTTTGGATAGGCATGCACCCGTGAGTGATAGAGGATTGGGAATGAGAATGGGAAGACCTTGGGCTTGGTGCTTGGGCTGGTGCTTGGGCATGTGGTGGAACTCTGGCTTTGGCTGTCAAGTGTATCCAAATTCAAATCCTTGCTGTAATAACGTCCTAGCTGTGTGACCTTCAGCAAATGTTTTAATTGTCTCAAGGACCTGTTTCCTAGGGAGCCTCTGGTGTGGAGACTTACATGGATTGCCCAGCGTCTCAGGGGATCAGGAGGGCCTCATCCATCCAGGAGTGAAGCTTCTTGTCGCACCTAGAATTACCTGGGAAACTTAAAAACTTCCTCAAACCTGGACTTTATCTAACCAGGCCAATTAATTCGGAATCTCTGGAGATGGGACCCAGGCGTCCGTATTGTCTTAAAATTCCCCAGTGCAGTATTCCAGAGTGCAGTGGAGGTTGAGACCCTTGATGACCAGGCCATTGCTAGTTCTACTCCTGTCCATCTGCCACTGCACTTGTGATGGCTGCTTATGGTGTGTTCCTTCACACCTGCTCTGCCATGACATTCTCAGGCGTGTTGCTGGGCAGCACAGACGTTTGGTGTGCATATTATATTAACACAGATGTGAGGATATTTCCTACTTGGATTTGATGGCTAATTTATAGAGCAACTCTTATAGAGTTATTACCATCAATTCCTTCTCTAGTCATGCCTTTCTCTGTCCAGATGTCTCACCTCTGTGTGCTTGCTTTCACTTTTTACCTAGAGATGTGATGATTCCCATCATGGCAGGCACTGTTGGTGGCCATCCTCATATCCAGTCTCTCCCTTTTCCTCACTAGCAACTCCTGGATTATTGGGAGCTGCAATGTGCTTAGCTAAAATCAACAGCTACATTTTCCAGCTGCCTTTGTAGGGGTGGCCAATGAGATGTAATTAGAAGCTGTGAGGTGAAGCTTCCAGGAAAGCTCCTAAAAGATTGCCTTACTCAGTTGGGAGGGAGGAGAATTTTGGTCCTTACCATTCTTTTTACTGTCTGGAATGTGGATGTGCTAGATGATCCTCCAGCAGCCATTTTGTGATCATGAGGTGACCTTCCAGATGGATGCCATATGCTAAGGATTGATACAGTAGGAATATAGAAGTAGCTTGTGGAGCTACCATTCCAGCCATCCCAGCCCTGTACTGTATCTGAAATTCAAGCTACAGAGAAAAAAAATTCAACCTTTCCATGTTTTAAGAGCCTGTTATTTCTGGTTTTTGCTACTAGTCCCTGAATTCAGTTCTTGCTACTGAATAAACCAACCTGGTGTATAAGAGTAGTTCAAAAAATGTCAGTGATTCTGCGTCTCTGCCTCCTCCACCCCCTCACTCTAGCCACAAACACACTGTTCCTCCTCTGATAAGTAACTGGACATCTAGCTGTGAGGCTGTTGAAACCTGATGGAATCTCAGAAAGTCACAAAGAAGTGAGGCATGGATCACGCCCAGCCCACAGATGAGTTGTATTTGGCCCACATGTATTTTTTATAATCCTGAATTTGTTGCCACCATTTGAAAACCTGGTGATTTTGCATAAATCCTGATTTCTTAGAAAATCTTTTGACCCAGGGTCATTTCTGCCTGGCAACGATCCACTGAAAGTAAGTAGCAGCTGCCCTCTGAGATGAGGCAGGTGTTCTGTGGATCAGCACAATGCCCCCTTCATTCATGTCACCTGTGTGGCCCTGAAGGCAGCTGAGTTTGCAACCTTCCACCTCCCTACCCAGCCACACACCTGAGGAATGGCCTGTTAAAATGGTATTCCTGAATTTTTTGTGCCTTTCTCCTTTCCCAATCTCCCTTGACTCAACACTTAGCACATTGGGGTTTTTGTTTTTGTTTTTTTTTCTCAGAAAACTTAGCATGCACTTTTGAGAGTTGGAGAGAAATCAACCTCTCAAATGCCAGAAAACAGCTGATGTTGCTTCTTGGAGGCATCTTGACTTCCCTTCTCACATGTCTTATTGAGGAGAGGCAGTAAGAGGGAGAGCTGCAGGCTCCTCAGGGAGCAGCTGTTGGGATGCTTGATTGAGGCACTGAGACATCCAGGGGACAATTAAATTGAGTATTGAATATGGATTGCTTTTGAATGGCTTTTTGAATGGCTTTTATTACCATGTCACGAGTAAGAATGACTCCAGCTCAGCTTTTACATTACGTCCTCTGAGACATAACTTAGAGGTTTCCTAAATGGCAGGACTCAGAAGATGTGCATTAGTTCCATTGTGCTTGTGAAGTCTGTTTTGCGACACATGTGCTCCTCAGTTGTCTGAACCCTTGAGAAAACCTCAGCTGCTATGGCTGCCACCTTCAGCTGGGGTGATCCTACTGCAGCTGTTAAATGGAGAGTCTCTGTTTCAGTCTGATGTAAGTCTTTATGTCCTTGGTCATTAACTTGGAAAGTTAAATGCTCGTGTAGCTTTTACAAACATAGTTCTTTGGGGTTTTGGGAAGTAAAACAAAAGCTATTTTGATAATAAATAATTTATAGTTCTGATTCTTTATGAATTATACAGAGTACAGTATGTTGGGTCAGGAATGATCATCTTTGCATTAGCAATTCTAAGTAAAATGGTGCCATGCTTAACAGAACAAGTTCTCAAGTAAGTAAGTAGATTGGCCTGGGATGCAGAGAGGAAACAGTAGAACTGGCATTCCCAGGTCCGCACCAAATTCTTAGGGTTAATACCACCACAAAAATAAGTCCTGTCTCTTGGATACTAATGGAATTTCACAGTATGCAGGATAGTGATTGGGCAACAGGCCTAAGGAGAATCTCTGCCTGCTTTGGAGCTGGTTTCTGGGGGAAGCTGGGGCACAGATAGCTGCAAATGAGTGTGGGGTGTGCTGGGTATTGGGGGAGACAGGAATGCAGTCGGGGCCCAGCCTGATGGAGCATTGGTGCAGGTAGACTCCGCTGGCCTATGTTGGCTGGTTCTCCAATTATAGTTTAAGAAAATGTGTTCTGTCTGATCTCTTAATTTTCATAGGAAACCTACTCAGTGAATACCTTATATAAAAAGAACTAAAAAACTTAATGTCTTAAAAAGGCTTTATTCCATATAGACTTTTGAACATGGTAATTATATTCCAATTCTGTGGGAGAAGAATGAACTCTGGAGGCTAGCCCACTTATCAGATTTTCATTTCTTTCCAGAAGTAGTTTAGGAGCAGTTACTTGGGGTCCAATTGTGAATTTTTATTTTTGAGATTTTGGCCATGTGTTCGTTATCTAAGACTTGTTTTCTGCCCCATTGTATCCAAGCATTATATGCACCAGTAATATTCCTAACTAGTCCAACAGAAAATCTGGTATATCTTGAGAAGAATCACTGCCATAACTTATTAATGGATTAACTAGGCATAATTTTTATAGGGTTCATTCATCCAAATTTATCATAGAATAGAATTTAAGAAAAAAATGAGTTATTTAAGTCCTTTTTTGGAAGGGATCCCTATCCCCTATGGATACTGCAGTTAGTGATGTGTCAGACTTCTCCTTCAAGAAATTAGCTGCAAATCCTTTCTTCATTATGTGAGCACTCTTCTGTTTGCCCCTTAGAGCTCTCCTCCCTCTTCCCTGTCCTGTGTAGACCATATCAGTGGGCTCCTTGTCCTGGGCTTCTGGGTTCAGGTAATGCAGGGTGGAGAGTGAGATCAGGGTGTTTTAATTCCTGGCTCCCTCTTAGAGGGCCACCACAGCTGGCCATGTCCCTCAGCCTGTCTGGCAGCCTCCTCCACACAGCCTTCTCCCTTCCCATTCTCCCTTAGGCAATTACCAGCCCAGGGACACTGTTCACCCGTCTGTTTCCCTACATGCTGCCAACACCTATGTAAGTATTCTATTTATTAAACTCTAAAATAATCCCAATTGGAGTGTGCCATCTGCTTCATGCTGGGACCGTAATGGATACAAATAAGCATTTGATCCACAGAGAGAGGAGGACTGCTGACCTGGTAGTTAGCAAAGATTAAAAAAAAAAAGGGGGGGGGGAGTGCAAACTAGCCCAGTTGAAGCATTACCATCTAAAAAAATTGTTTTAATGTTTATTATTGAGAGAGAGAGAGAGGGAGGGAGAGGGAGAGAGGGAGGGGGAGGGGCAGAAAGGGGGGAGACACAGAGTCTGAAGCAGGCCACAGACTCTGAGCTATCAGTAGAGAGCCCAGTGTGGGGCTCGAACCCGCAAACCACGATATCATGATCTGAGCCAAAGTTGGAAGCTTAACTGACTGAGCCATCCGGGCACCCTGAAGCATTACCATCCAAAACCCCAGCCCAAATCTTTCTTCAGGAAACCTGTCCTTTCTGCCTCTCTGAATGTTACCCCATCTCAGATTGTTTCTAGTGTTTTCAAAGCCCTGTGCATGCGTCTGCTACCAGCACGGCAGGCTTGTAGCACCCCAAGATTGTTTTAGTGTTTCAGAGTAACAGATCCAGCAGTGCAGGGGAGATCTCCTGAAAGTCATAGGATATGGAATGTGAATCTTTGATCTTTCCAGTTTCTCTAGCGTGGCCTTATATCACTTGACTTGCAGCTGGCACGTATGTTTTAGGAAAATGGAAGGATGGATAAAGTGTATGGAATGTTTTGTCCTCTCAAAATTCTTACGTTGAAGCCCTAATCCTCCAGTGTGATGGTATTAGGAGATGGACCTTTGGGAGATAATTAGGTTAGATGGAGTCATGATGGTGGGGCCCTCAAGGATGGGATTGGTGCCTTTATAAGGGTAGACACCAGAGAGCTTGCTGCTCCCCCCACTCTCTGCACACATAAAAAGAAGAGGTCATGTGACCACATAGTAAGATGGCAGATGCCTACAAACCAAGAGAAGAGCTTTTGGAGTGAAACCTATCTGTTGGTACCTTGATCTTGGACTTTCCAGCCTCCAGCAATGTGAAAAATATGTTTGTTGTTTAGCCACACAGTCTATGGTATTTTGTTATGGTACCCCGGGCTGACAGAGATAAACATGTAGATTTGTTCCAAACGTGCTATCTGCATTGTCTGAGACAAGCAATCTACTTGGGTGGCCCTTGCTCTTTTAGAAATTTGTTTGGCGATTCCTCTTTATAGCCTACTGTAATATTTAAAGGCAATGGGGATTGTTTTGGCTGAAATTTAAGCTTTAAAGGTGAAAGTATCCTTATCAGACTGGTTCAACTTAGAAATGAGCAAGTTTTCTCAATTTGGCCAATTAAAAAATACCTTTAGTATGGATGCTGAGGAGACTAGGCCTTTGGTTTTGATTCTAAATGGAAGTGGGGAGGTGCTCACAGAACGATGCCAAGCACCGGCGGCTGTACAATTTGTTTTATTTTGTGTGCTTTTTTTTTAATAGGATATAAATAATGACAAAAATTACAAAATTTATAACTGGAAGCCCAAGCATATTTACACATGTTTCTGTTTCAGCAAAGCTACTATTTACTTTGCTCCTATACAATTACCTTTTGGTACCATATTTCAGTGTTATTTTATTCTCCATTTACTACATACATATCAACAGTGAATAGGCAAAATATATACAAGGAACTGTTCAGGTCAAGTAATTTAATATTGTATTAAAATTCTTCAACACTGAACTAAATCCATATACATTTGTCAGTTTGAAACAAAATTTAGTTATCCTTCTTTAAAACTCACCAACTGATAAATAACTGATAAGCCTCAAGTTTAAAATAATATTGGTTAATAAAAAAAACATTAAGACAATCCCACAATTTATCAATATCGCTATAATGAACTTCAAAATGATTCACAATATGATCAGTTAGAACAATATACGTTAAAATGTTATTTTTTTCTATAATGATATTGGTACTGTTTATATAATTTGATTCTACATAAATATACATTATGGTATCATACAAATACTCCACAGAGACATTAAAAAAATTAAAATACCTTAAAGAAATGTAAGTAAATTTTATTTAATCAAATAGTAAGCAAACATTTATTTCAAGAAAAGAGTTTTATTACTTTGGAATCTCTCTTTTTTTTTTTTTTTTTGTATTTTTTCTAGAAAAATTTTTGCAATAGAATTTTATTAACACCTTTCTCAAACAAGGTTTCCATGACAGAAATCTTGACAGCAGGAGCCCTAGATTTTTTTTTTAACGTTTTCTTTAAAACACTGTGAAGGTTAAAAAAAAAAAAACAATCTTTGCAGCTTATGGCTGCATCAGCACTTTCGGTTGGATGCCAGTCTGCTTGCCCTAATCTCCTGCTCTGGGGAGCGTCATCAGTACTTTGCCACACCCAAGCCAGTCCTCTCAGTGGTAGCAGTAAAAATTTAGTCATTTGAAATGAAACCAGAAACATCCCTCACAACTAACCTACTTTTCTTATCAGTGCATTAATGAAACATTCTTTTAATAAAAATATTTAATACAAGACACATTTTTCTGTGCATAATAAATTCCTGTTTTGAATCATTCTTAAATTTTGAATCAATCCATAGATGTAAAGTTTTTCTTTATCTGACATGGTTTATTACATATAAAATCCACAAATATAGAAATTGGGAAACAGGATTTCCTGGCAATCATGGGGGTGGTTTTTGTCCTTATGCATGAAATGATGCGCAGTGATATGATTTTACAGGTGCTTTATGGGGGTAGTTCTGTTCTGATTCTACCTTTAAAACTGCTGACTGAAAAATCCAAGATTTTTATACTTTTAGGCAGTATTAGAGATCCCCTGTACTTTTTTTTTAAAGGTATTATCCCCAAATTCAGCAAAGCAGTGTTGGGGGCAGAGTCATTAGAAATACCTTGGGTGGTGGTAGGGAGGGGAGTCGGGAGAGTCAGCAAAAAACCTCAACTCGTGCCTCTCAGGGGTTACGGCTGGAAAGTCTTGGTTGCACACTTTCTGTTACTGGTGCAGAAAGAACATCCCCAGGAATGGCCAGCGGCCTTTCGCCCGTGACAAGGCCACACAAACAGAGCAGTCTTCCTCCTGGGCTGGGTGGAAACGGAGGCGCGAAGGGAAGCCTGCTCCGGGACTGCTCAGCGTGCAAGGCACCGCGAGGACAGGAGGATGGTGAGTATCAGAAAATTGTGGTTTCATACTTGGTATTAATTCCTCTCTTGGCTTCTTGTCCTGGCTCCACAATCCACGGCAGATTGGCCAGAGTCTTTTGTTCAGAGGGGTCGATCTGCTTTAAAACAGAAAGGCTGATGCCTGTTATACGGTACCTGTACTCGGGTGCAAACAATGCTTCTTAAAACTTTTTGGAAACCAATGCTGTGCTCTGACAGGACTGCAGGGATATTGATACATGAGAATCTTGTGTTTGTCCTTTTAATACACATTTATTGTATAAGGACTATATGCAAGGCACTCAAGGGGTGGATGGTGAATGAGACTCAGCCTTTGCTCTTGAAGGCACACAGATGGAGAGCAAACACAGAATTCTGCACTTCAGTACTGAGAAGGGGGAAGGAGGAAGAGAGGGTGCTCTGTGGTCAAGGAGCCAGGGGACTTCCTGGAAGAGGTGAACCAGGTTATGTCACTCCCCACCTCTCAAGCCTACAGTGGTTTCCATCACAAAGTAAACCCTAAGTCCTTCAGGTGAAGCCCAGCCACTCTGGCTTTGCTTCTCCCTGCATGCCAAGCCTACACCCAGGGCCTTTACTCACATCATCTGCTCGGCAGGAATGCCTTTCTCCAGACACCTGCATGTCTTATACCCTAATGTCATTCAGGTTGCAGCTCGACCACCACCTCCTCACCTGTTCACCCCATACAAAATAGCATCCTAACTTTTCTGCTCTTTTCTTCTGCTCTTTTCTTTATAATCCTTGTGCCACTTACATTATCTCATGTTTATTAGTTCATCCTACACTGCAGTGTAGGATTTTGTTTTGTCACTGTTTCCCCCAAACTTAGAAAAGCTCCTGGCAGCCCAGTAAATAATAGTGGGCACACAATACATACTTATTGGATATTATAAAATAATGAGGTAATATCTGAACAGCTGGAGGATGAGCAAGAGTTTGCCTGGCAAGGGGGCAGGGAGAGGGGGAATAGCATGTGCAAAGCCCCTGAGGCAAGGAGAAAGAGCTGGTTGAGAGCTTGCAGTTTGCAGAGTGGGAGACTGGAGGGTAAATAGGTAAGCAGGGCCAAGTTAGGCTGAGCCTTGACCAAACTGAACTGAGCTGTAAAACAGTTAAAACCATTTTAGCCCCTGTGCATACAAAGTCAAAAAAGGCCACTCGTGGGTGAGGCTTGAGCTGTATGCTCTTAGGCAGGGCTTTCGCAGGGAGTTCTTCCCCACATTGCTGCCTCATCTTTTCCACATCTGCCCTGGCCCTGGCTATGTGTTCGGCTCAGGAGTGCTGGAGCAAGGTAGCCTGGGAAGGCCTCATTTCTCTTGCATTGTGAACTTTCGTGCCTGCTGGAAGGCTGTGGGATCCATGCCCTTTGGCTACCTTCCAGCATGATTTGATTGTATCTCCACAAAGCTGTGGGGAGGACTTCACATGTTCTTAGGAATCATGGAATATTTTTGAGTAATAAACAAATAGACCTGAGGGAGATGGAACATGGACACCAGCTGAGGGGGATGGGATGCTGAGGCAGTTAAAGAACATCAGTATTATTCACTATATTTTCATCATTTCTCAGTGAAGGGTTTTAGATGCATATTCTATGAGCCCCCATGGCATCCATCCCAGTTGTGCTCTCTTGGAAGAAGTCTTTGGGGACCAGAGTAAAGTCTGATGGAGGCACTTGCCTTGAACAGATTTATCCAGCCCATGTGAGAATGAATTACAACAGTCTAAGAGATAATCCAAAAAATATTCTGAAAACTGGACATTTAATTTACAGTTCTGTGGGGGAAGATAGATTATGAACAAATCTCCATCAATAAATACTACACAGAATTAAAAGCAGGTATATGCTTGAGTGTGCCTGGGCATCTACCTCAGATTGGGCGGCCCAGGAAAAGCTTCATGTAGTGGAGACCTGAATGACAAGTGGGAGTCAGCTGTGCAGAAAATATGGGGGATACTATGCCAGGTGGAATGAACAGGTAGCACAAAGGTCTTGGGTAGGAGTGAGCTTTGGTCTGTTTGAGGAATAGGAAGGCCTGAGCATCATAGAGAAGTGTGGTGGGAATTAGCTTTTGGAACTTGGGGCAGTGGTGCCATGATCTGATGTGTTTTTTAGGATTACTCTGGTTGCATGGAGAAGAGAGACTGTTAGGACATGTACTGCAGTAGTTCTGGAGAGCAGTGGTGGTAGCCTGGATGAGAAGAGTGAGGAAATGGAGAGGAGTGGACAGATCTATGTTTTAAGGGTTGAGTGGATGGAACCTGCTCATGGTTGTACATGGTGGTGAGAGGAAGACAGGAATTAAGGATGACCTCTGGATTTATGGCTTAAACAATATGGTAAATGGTTATGCCATTTACCGAGCTGGGAAAGATTAAGAGTGTAAACAGCTTTAAGGGGAAAATCAAGAATTTTATTCCAGGGACTTCCAGGGAAGATGGTGGCCGAGGAGAATCCTAGGCTCAACTCATCCCATGGATACACTTGGATAATACCCACATCAGTGTAAATAACCCAGAAATGATCTATAGACTGGCAGAACAGACTTTTCACGGCTAAATGTAGGAAAGAGGCCACACTGAAGAAGGGAGGAAAGGCAGAGATGCAGTTGGAAGCCAAATGGGCCTGTGGTACCTGAGGGAGGGATGCTGTGGGCCCAGAGGGGAGAGGAGCAGATCCTACACCAGGCACCCAGGCACAGGGCACCTGCCCTGGGGAAGATGAATTCCCATAACATCTGGGTTTGAAAACCAGAGGGGCTTAACACACCTCTAACTTTGAAAATCAGTGAACTGGAGACTGATAGGAAACTAAGTCTCTGCCCTTAAAGAGACAGCATAACAAATAGCCCCACCAAGATACAGCATAGAAGCAGCAGTTTGAAAAATGCCTGTAGTATACAGAAGGGAGGGAGATTTATTTACTAATCTCTGAGCATGTGCTAGAGACGCAGAGATCTTTGGGAGACTTCTCTAAGAACAAACGAACTGGCAGGCACCATTTCCTTCCCCCAACCCCCAGCCTACATACAGGTATACCCGTGTGAATCAGTGCAGCACTCTACCTAGCTTGCTAACAGCATGCCCTGCCCCATAGCCTCCTGTAGACCCACCTCCCAACCTGGCCTTGTTGAGTGCATCCAAAGCAATGCCACAAGCATGGCAGTATGCAAGCAGGCCTGACAGGGGTCAGCACCACTGCAAAGCAACTCCTGCCCTGGGGAGAGGGGAAGAAAACCACACACAGCAGTCCGTGGCCCCAGGAGTGTGCTGGGAATATTTAGTCTGACTATAGGCCCCATCCCCCAACAAAAACTTCTCAGGAGACAACACAGAGTGCCTTGCAGTGTGGTGCTCCTGTAGCTCTGGAAAATACCTGGTCTATTCCAACTTAAGCCCAAGGCAGCCCAGACTAACCCCCTAACACAGGGGACCAAACCCTGCCCACAGCAGGCAAAGAGCCATAGCAGACAACTGGACTGAAGGCAAAAACAGCTCAGCCAGAACAGTGAGACACATGCAACAGAGAGAGGAGACACCCCAGAAGTGCCAGATTCTGGTGAACAGGGGACACTACACTGTAGGGCACTATAGGACCTCTTCTTGTTAGGGTCACTACTTTCAAGAGCAGAAGACATAACTGACTTTCCTAATAGAAACAAGACACACAAAGGCAAAATGAAGAGACAGAGGAGTAGGTCCCAAATGAACTAATAGGACAAAGTTACAGAAAAATAGCTAAAATCTTGGAGATAAGTAATATGCCTGATTAATACTTTAAAGGTCATAAAGATACTGGACTTAAGAGTAGAGGACCTCAGGGGCACCTGGGAAGCTCAGTCGGTTGAGCATCCGACTTTGGCTCAGGTCATGATCTCACAGTTTGTGGGTTCAAGCCCCGCATGAGGCTCTGTGCTGACAGCTTGCTCAGAACCTGCAGCCTGCTTCAGATTCTGTGTCTCCTTCTCTCTCTGCCCCTCCCCTGTCCATGCTCTGTCTCTCTCTCTGAAAAATAAAAGTTAAAAAAAAAAAAAAAGAGGAGAGAACCTGAGACCCTCAACAAAGATAGACAACATAAAAAAACCAGAGAGATGAGGAACGCAATTAGAAATTAAAATTACATTAGAGGGAACAAACAGACTAAAGGAAGCAGAAGAATGGATGTGTGACCTGGAAGACAGAGTAATGGAAAGCAATCAAGCTGAACAGGAGAAAGAAAAGAGCTTAATAAAAAATGAGAGTAGATTAAGGGAACTCAGTGAGACCATCCAGTGTAATAACACTGCATCATAGGGATCCCAGAAGAGGAGAGAGAGAAAAAGGGGCAGAAAACTTATTGGAAGAAATAATAGCTTAAAGTTTGGCCAATATCGAGAATGAAATAGAAATCTAGATCCAGGAGACACAGACCACCCCCGACTAAACCAAGGAGGGCCACACCAAAACACACAGTAATTAAAATAGCAAAAAGTAGTGATAGAGAATTTTTAAAGCAGCAAGAGAAAGGAATACAGCTACATAAAAAGGAAGCCCCATAAGGCTATCAGCTGGTATTTCAGCAGAAACTTTTCAGACCAGAAGGGAGTGGCATGACATATTCAAAGTGCTGAAAGAAGAAAACCCGCAACCAAGAGTACTCTAATCGCAAGGCTATCATTCAGAATTGAAAGACAGAGATAGAGTTCCCACAGGCAAAAGTTAAAGGAATTCATGATCACGGGGCACTTGGGTGGCTCAGTCAGTTGAGCATCCGACTTCAGCTCAGGTCATGATCTCGTTGGGCTCTGTGCCGAAAGCTTGGAGCCTGGAGCCTGCTTCCGATTCTGTGTCTCCCTCTCTCTGCCCCTTCCCCGCTCATGCTCTGTCTCTCAAAGATGAATAAACGTTAAAAAAAAAAAATTTTTTTTTAAGGAATTCATGATAATGAGGTGCCTGGGTGGCTCAGTCGGTTGAGCATCCAACTTCGGCTCAGGTCATGATCTCACGGTTCGTGAGTTCAGGCCCCAAGTTGGGCTCTGTGCTGACAGCTCAGAGCCTGGAGCCTGCTTCCGATTCTGTGTCTCCCTCTTTCTGCCCCTTCCCCACTCATGCTCTGTCTCTGTCTCTCAAAGATGAAT